TATATATAACATCGTTTTGTAACAAAACAAGTAATATGAAGGGGAAAAAAATTAAGTCAATTCCTACTTAGATCAACAAAGAAAAATTTTATTTTAGCTACTTTGTATTAAATAGTTACAATTAATATAAATATGTATATACATATCACAGAATCACAACATTATGGGATAATTAATTTTTATTCATTATCCTTAAAGTATCGTATTGTCATCAAAACAATAGCGTCTATAAAATTTCAGTTCAACTGAATGCTTTAAAACGCGAGAAAAAAAACCTTTTCAAGTTTTGACACAAGTCGCCAAAAATGATGCCAACGTGTATGAATTCAAAAAAAAAAAAAATATAATATATATATTAATATATATATATAAATAATTAGTTTTAATTAATTCACATTTTTATTAATTATAATTAAATTGTTGTATTGTCATCCTAAATAATCATGTATATAAAATTTCAGCTCAATTGAATTCTTCAAAATGTATTTTATTAACGATTGAAAATTCCACCAAGATAAATAAATAAATATATATAGAGAGAGAGAGAGTGCGAGCTAATAGTAGGAATTTTGAGAGAGAAAAAAAAAAAATTAGAAATGGAATTGCATATTACATCAGTTCTATGCGTTTTCATCTCCTTGCTGTCTACAGAATAAGGGTAAATCAGGGTTAGTGCTGAGGTCCGAAGTCATCGAAGAGACGCTCATCATCATTTCACTGGATGGTCTTTAACAGAACGATGACTCGAATAAAAGCAATTTTCCAATCATTAACGCACAATTTCTTTCTTGACACGCAACTTGAAGATCTATCTCGTAGTCTGAGGAGGGATGAGGTGGCCTTTACTCTGAATGTTTGCTTCACTTCCTAAATTCACCTGCATACGGGGAACGAGAAAAACGCGACCTCATTTGAGCATCTTACTCGAGGTAAATCACGGCTCGTCTTCCGAAGCGTCGGTGGTATAACGGTTAGCATAGCTGCCTTCCAAGCAGTTGACCCGGGTTCGACTCCCGGCCGACGCACGTTCCTTTTTATATCTCGAATTCCGAGTGTGAAATAAATTACAATAAATTAGTTACTGTGTAACATTTAATTTGCGTAGAAAAATTAATTTTTATAATTATATTTTGCAGCCTTTTTCTTTGAAATCACGGTTAAATATGTATATTCAGTAATTATGATTACATTTAGTTTTAAGTTTATTTATACTAAATGGCAACATCAAAAAACTACTCTAGTCTCCTGGAGTTTCACGATTTTTCCCTACTTGAAAGGAGTGAGAGAGTGAGTGAATTTTCACGTAGTATTATTCAGCTACACGGGGGCTTTTGGCAATGGACATCGTAATTTTGAACCATGGTCAAATGAAGAGGACGACACCTGAGCTCGCACCCTCTCCTAACTTCTACACCACACCAATGGAAGGACGTTTGATCTTCGACAGATTTAACGGGCATCGTCCCCCTCTACATGGCGGGTCTTCAGCAGCACACTGGCTCGAACTTATTCTAAAAATTCAAAGATAATAACGTCATTCTCGAAGATGAGTTTTTTATAATTAACTATGGTATATCAAATTCTTCACGGTGAATTTAAAAAATTAAACAATGCATACTGATAGATAAAGAAGTTTTTAATGAGTTAATTTTACGTGAATGTAAAATAAAACAAAAGGCTTTTTGTATATTATCAGCTAAACAAAACATGTTCGCTAAATTTTAAGTCTTACAAAATAACAGATTTTTTTTCATATTATTATTTGACTGACACCCTGTAACTTTCATTGTGGGTCAATTGTTTATATAAACACTTACCTGCTTGCAAAAGTAAACACATCGTTGCAAATTTCTGTGTAATAAACGCTTAAAATAGTGTAAATAATTTGTATCTGGGGATGTGTAATACGTTAATATTACTTTCTGATGTATTTATTTTATGTTAAATAGCTATTATACCCGCGACTTCGTCCACGTGGAATTTAACAAAAAGTGTTTATTCACTTCGCAGAGTTAACGATAATTTAATAATTATGTATTCTACGTAAAGAAATATCTATGCTATAAGTATAATGTCATTCTTCTACTTTGTGAATCTATGTTTCTTTTTTTTCCCTTCGTTTTTTGTTGAGCAAAGGGTGAAAGGGACGCGGGACCTTTGACACTGTCAATGGGGTGAGGACTAAAATCATTAGGATCAAAATAGGTCTAAGTAGCAGTAGGGTGAAACGCGAACACAACACAAAAGAAGCCGCAAGGAAGGGGTGAAAGGGACGCATGACCTTTGACAATGCGGTTAAGGACTGTAAAATCATTAGGATCAAAGGACATGAACGGGAAATATCGCGAGTGGCAGCAATCTTATCAAACAGAAAAGTTTGATATAACTGCTAGAAATCGTTGAGACAGAAGGCTCGCGAAATAAAATAGTCCCTATTGAATAAAAATAATCCCTACTGAATAAAAATAATTCCTTTTCAATAACAATAATCCCTATTGAAAAAAAATAATCCCTATTGAAATAAATAATCCCTATTTGAATCGGATATTGCTCACTATTTTATTGGTTTTTAATTTTATTTTCTTGGAACCCTAATTTTTTTAAAAAATAAAAGTACCCTAAGTTACTCCTTATAGCATTAGCTATCGGCTAGTGAAAACTCCGTCAAAACTGATCCAGCCGTTTCAGAAATTAGCCGGAACAAACAGACAGACAAAAATTTTAAAAATTGATTTTTTTCTTATAAGTACCGTATATACTCTTTTAAATGTATTTAATAAAAAGCTGTTAATTTCAAATTACAAACAGACACTTCATTTTTATTTATATGTATAGATGATACTGAATCACATTCAGAATGTATGACTACTTATTGTCTTAATTCCCACATCACGCAAGTGGCCGTAGTAGCGTAATGGTTTTGGTAACGGGCTTGGAGAGAGTGTCGTGGGTTATAGGCTTGGTGCCACTGAAGAGCGTCGTGTAGATGGGGCAGATGCACATTCAATCCGTAAAGGCTCAATACCCCCCCTCCCCGTTGGTGTGATAGTTAGAAGACGGGAGTGCCAGCTCACGCGTCATCCTCGCCACTTGACCGAGTCTCAAAATGGCAAGGTCCGTCGCCAATAGTTCTCGTGTTGCTTTATAGTGGGACGTTAATACGCACACAACTCTCACTCCCCATTACATAAGAATTTTGAGTACTTGTTCCATTTATACCAGATAAAAAATTCCCTTCTCTCCACGGACGTGTCTCTGGGGAAATCAGAATTCCAGTCCTCCATTCGACATCACTGGACATAGTTAGCTAATTTTATATCAAAAAATGCAACCAATTTTAGATAAGAAATTTATGTTATTCCTCTCTACCTAATTAAAAATGAAGAAAATATTTCCTAGAATGTTTCTTTTAATTATCTATTTGATTTGATTTTAACTAATCATTCCTTGCACTTTGAAGCAACACTATTGGCACACAAGGCTATTGGCGACCGACCTCGAAATTCTCAGCCTCGGTCAAGTGGCGAGGATGATACTTGAACTGGCAAAGCGCACAGCGACATTGATCTTGTAGCGAAGGATTTTTATCGGATAAAATCACCGAGGTTCGCGTATTGCAAATACCTTGGAAAAGCCGTCACCATCCCACGCCAATATAAACGATAAGTACTGTTATATTTGTGCGATGGCATACACTGACTAATTTATGGAAGGGGGATATATTTTTTAAAAAATATACATGAAGACGAAAGCCCTGAGCCGTAATCTTTATGCTAAATCGGCCTAATTATCAGACCTATTATCAGAATGCGTAACTCCTACAGAATGAACTTTACAGGAGCAAGTAAAAACTGTGTATTTTTGCTGAGCACGGGAATTATTTCAATTCAACTATTAATGAGCTATATTTTTGTAGGACATATGAAGTAATCGAATGGATAGGCTTCAAAATACTGCACTAGATAGCATTAAAAGTCTTATAATATTTTGGGGTTACGCATTCTGGTAATTAAACCTGTGGTGGTTTGCTTCTCAGTAATCCCTAAAGGGAAATATGTGTGAACCTCCCCTAACCAATGGGGGATTCAATCAGTCTGTAACCAACTTTGGCCGATATCGGAACCCCCGAAATTGGTAGGGGTGCCTACCCACAAAATAGTAGTTTTCAATTTATATTTAATTGTTTGTGTGTCGTGTGTGTCGTCATAATAAATGTTTTAAAAAACCTGAAAACAAGGACTGATATCTTGAATACGCGACAAGGCCAACGATATGTTAATCTATAGGGTGTTTCAACTCTCACACATCTCTGTGTACGCACTTGTAACGTTACTACGTATAAAAGAGCATCAGGTATTGGCACTAGAAAAAAATTGCACTTCAATTTACTTTAAATTTGGCACTTTAATAAAATTCTGTTTACCATCCTTTTTCTATTACCCTTCTATATTTATCTCAGGTGCCTAGTTTTGTCACTAAATTTGGTGACATTTAGCGAAAAATTTATCGTCAAATTAGCCAACAAGTCTTCAATTTCTATTCAGCATTATGACAAGAATATTCTCAACTTATAAATCATCTTTCGGCCCTTTGGATCGGAAAAGTCCAAACTTTCCGTTGATTGATTGTTTATTAACTTCATACTTTCAAAATAAATAAAATTCTAAACGTATAGACAGTAAGATGTTTGAAGAATAATAACATTCAAATCTGGAGTACAAGGTGAAAATGATTAATTTGATTTTTTTTTCATTTGCGGTGCACACTAAAAGCAACGTGAGGGCCATTGGCGATGGACTTTGGGTCTTGGTCAAGTGACGATGACAACACCTAAGCTCTGGCACCCCTCCAAACTTCCACACCACATCAAATCGAGGAATTCGAGCCTCGACAGATTTAACGTGCATCAGCCTCTCTTTATGGTGAGAAGTACGAGTACTTTTCAATTCCTGCTATTAGGTCACACTTTCCCTATATATATATATATATTCGCTCGTTGTGTCCCTATAGTGCAATGGATAGCGCGTTGGACTTCTAATCCAAAGGGTTCGAATCCCAATTGGGATAGCCTAATTTCTGAGAATGTAATTTCTTTTTACTATACTATTTTATTGGAATAATTAAATTTAATGAATGAATAAATATAGTAACAAATCAAAAATAATAATAATAATAGTCCAACGCCATCTCTATAGAATGGAAAATGGCTTTTTATTTCGCTACTTAATATTGGGATTCCGCGTCATATGTATATATATATTTATATTAATTGTAGTTACTTAATAAAAAGCAACTAAATTTCTAAGTAATTTTTCTATGTTGACCTAAATAGGAATTGACTCAAAAAAAAAAATTTTATATTACTTGTTATTCTCTATAACCTACAATGTATTCATCCTCGTCACTTGACCATGGTTCAAAATGACGAGGTCCGTCGCCAAAAGCCCTTGTGTAGCTTAACACGTTTATATTCACTCACTCAATATATTCATCAACAAAAGAGAAATACAAACATAAAAAAGGTATACTGTGAGAAAGATAAAAAAATAGTTATGTATAAATAATATATTGTCATTTCGCCCGAATTTTATTCATGCACGGTGTGAGCAAGTTAATAAAAAAAAATTCAACAAGCGAAAAATATCTATATATTCATGTAAAACTATAAGAGTGAAAACACAGCGGCATATATTGTAATTTTCGAAAGAAAACGGGCTCCATATTTGCTTCAATTTGCAATCATTTTCTCCTTCCCTGTTGGCAGACAATTTTGTTTTGAAACATGAAAATATAATAGCGTGGGGCTGTTTTCAACTATGTAGCAATAAGGGATTACGAAATATATATGAAGCTTTCTTACCTACAACAAAAAAGATTTGTTATCGTATTTTATGGAAAATCCCATCTCTCCATATTGTTCCTGAAAAAATTGTGAATATTTCGATTTTTTCAGCAGAAAAAAAATAATTTGAATGATTTTTTTTTTAAGCAGTGCAGAACGCTTGAAACCTTACATGTGAATTTAAGATTAGATATTTTGCTTTTGCATAGAAAAAAGGATTTGAGAAAATTGTTTCTTTCACATAAACAATATTCGAATATTTTTCCATCGGCTTTATTAAATTTTATGTTCTTTTATTAAGCCTCGTCTTATACAAAATGCATTTTGGCTTAGACTACATTTTTGTTGAATGAACATGGTACACTTCAACCTTTGTTGATTTTTGTTACAAAAAAAAAAAAAAAAAAAAGAAAAATAAAAAACCTATTAAAAATTATTTTCAAAAATTTGATAAAATTAAACCTTTTTTTTTTTTTTTTAAAAAAAAAAAAAAAAAAAAATGCTCACTATAAATCCCTGTAAATAACAGTAGCCAAAGTTTATATATTTCATGGAAACTTTTTATTTTTGTAATCACTCAATTGATCAAAAAAATTTCCAGATGAATAATAACAATAACATACTAAGTTCAACCAGCGTCGATTATACATTACAACTCAAATCTCTTACTGAAAAAACGCGTTTAAAATAATTACAAACGATGCCAACCTATGAAACATAACTTTAACAACAGACGATTACATATCGGCAAAAAATAATCAGATAAATTAGATTTACAGGAATTGTTGAATTAAAGCAAAGCGATAACAGGGTAGAGAATTTTTTGCTATATCTATAGCTACTGAATTATTTAAACAGTCAATTAAAAATTAGTTGAAAATAAAGAAAGGAAATTTAAATAGAACTAAATATTTCACAATTCGAAAAACAATCCTTTTAGAAGTCACTTAAGCTTTAAATCTCTTTACAAGATGATTTTTCGGAATATATATCTTAATTGAAAATTGCTTCATCATTCCGCTTTTATCGTTTTACTGGAATTCCATTAATCCAGAATTTTTTCAACATAACAAAAGAAAAATAAATCGTATAAAAAATCAATTTCAGGTATAAGATCCATTTTTTATAGTTACGACCTGAAGAGAAAGTTCAACAAACACATCGTTATATTCACACAATATTAGACATTCTGAAATGTAATGCTCCCCTACAGTAAATTTTACAGTAAAATATCACTTTTATGATGCAATATTTAAAGATTTTTATAATTTAATAATAAAGGTAAATATGCTGAGGAATGATTAAATAAGTCTTAGAATTCATGAACTTCAAAATCTAATATATATAGTACATGTACATTCACAATTTCTGCTAACCTCTCTCGAAAAAGTATGAGGTATTTAAGTCGATTTTTAAATAAAATAAGGTGAACATTCAAAAGGATAAAAGCAAAATAATTTAAATATAAACTTATGTACAACCTCTGACAATAAAGTTCGGTGAATGAAATCAGAACGGTCGTTCTGGCAACGCTGGGGAAACAAAATACTGCACATGCGTAGAGGCAGGTGTTGACCATCTGCCCCCAACGTTGTTCAGTTGAGCGTCGTTTGTGTTTCGTGTAAGACTTCGTCACCAAAAACCCTCGAGTAGCTAAACAGTGCAACGTTAATATTCATTCACTCACTCACTCGGCGCTTTCATCTACTTGCTTTTTTTGAGAATGTAAACCTCCCCCTACCCTTCCATAAGAGCAGTCTGTATCCCAAAATGAAGGGTATTTCACTTTGGGAAATATATCCCCTAAAGTCAGTGGCGCACACAAGGAGGGGGGGGGGCCTTGATTTGTTTTCGATTGATTATAATCCTATGTGTACAGTACAGAAAATTTAATTATTTATTAATAATTAATTTTATTAATTAATGCTAATTATTTATTCAATTTATTTTTTCCTGCTTTTCATTCCAACAATCGACAAAATCAAAAGAATACGTTTGGCGGAGTATTGTAGTATGGTATGAGAACGGTGGACTTTCGACCATGGAACCCCCTCCCCTTTGAAAAATTCCTGTGTGCGCCACTGCCTAGAATTATTCTTATGCAATTGGCACACAATGTACCTCATAGCATGCCCCTCTAATCTAAGAGTTCCAGCCTGAATACAGAGAAAGCTTCGGGAAAGAAATAGAAATCCCTTCTGAATAAGTTGGCAAGAATTTCCAGTTCCTTGCCTAGAACAGTCAGAGATTGGATTTGCCACTGGGTTACTATTTGAGTTACCTATATAGAATGGGAATGACAGATTCTTATCCACTTTGTGACATTGGCATACTCGTGATTCATCTCAAAATACACGCCCTACTGTTCTAAACTGCTTTTCTTTGAGTGTTACTGAGTGTGCTTTTGGTGTGACTGTTTTCATTTATCTTCATTGCAATGGGATACTCCTTAACCCTTTAACAGGCCATTTATTTCTAGTAAAGGTATATTAAAATATTTGTGGAATTGAGATAGATTTAAGAAGAGAAAATCTCGTTTAGCTTATTAGATAAAATTAATTCGATTTTTACCACCTTTTTGGTAGTAAGCATATTTACCACTGCTCATTGGGGGCTATTAAAAAGTATGAAATTAATGCTTTTTATTTCTTTTTTGTTTTATATTTATAAACAGGGGCGTAGGTACCGCCGTATCAATGATACAGAGCCCCCAAGCTAAAGGAGCCCCAACATGTGTAACTACAGTACCACTAACAAGGTTTTCATTTCTAAAAAAAGGCCTCGAAGAAGTTATGATACGGGGCCCACTCAGAACTACCTAAGCCAGTGTTTATAAAATATATTTTGTAAATACTACAAACTGGAAAAAGAATTGTATGTTATATAAAGCTTTTTTTATTCATAGATGATAAATTACAATATTATTTTTCATTAAAATTTGGAAAACACGGAGATACACATAACAGAATATCACTTGTACACACATGTGTTTTCTTCTGATATGCCTTAGTAGAGTTAGAGTACAAACAACAGCGCTTGTATGCCTTTCCTAAAATTGTAATATGGTTACCTAATTTATTCAAACTGAATTCATCTGGAACCATTTTTATATTGCGAGGGAAACTTATGGATCTCCCTTTTCATTTCTGACTAGAAAATCCTGAAATCAATTGGCGAACCAGCCAAAGACGAAATCTCGTTGGCCTTGAGAGCCCATATCTTTTCTACATAAAATTCATAAAATAAAGGAATAAACAACTGCCAGAACAATGAGGAAGTTTTTAATCCTGTTACTATGTGGGGGACTGGGTTGGTAACAAAGCCTGTAAGAGAGAGTTATTCATGGATGACAGCACAAATGAAATATAATAAAATAGATTACTATGGACATTTAAAAATTAATGCCATTGGTGGGAAGTAAACTTACCACGGTCTTAGAAAGGGTTAACTTATGACCTAAAGCTCGGAAATGAGAATAGGACAAAAAAAATCTCAAAATTACAAAAAAAAACATTTTTAAAAAAGAGAGGAAAAAAAATTTTATGATTACAAACAGTTGTGTTTCTCCAATACACCATTCTTCAACATCAAAGTCTAATTCCATTTAATGCACAGTAGTTCCTATATAACCGAGATTAGTTTTGGGTAAATTAGAATTCGAATATCACCACACACTCCTGATTCTTGCGACCTTAACTACTGGATACTAAGATAGTTATATGCATTAAGAAATTACAAAATAGTATATTCAATTATATTCATAGAGCTTTCTACTTTTTTTTTTCAACTATTCATTCGTAATATTATTGTAACGGAAAACTATTTTTTAAGAAAAAGGTTGGTCTTTTTGAAAAGGATATATATGATGTCTGTAAGAATGGTCAATATATATAATAAATTATCATAAATATTTATCCTATTGAAGTTTTCTTACGAGGAAAAAAAAGCAGGAACTGTGTGGTTTGATATATAAGTTAAAAGATTTTTGTAACAGAAAAATCTAAAGACAGTTGTGCAGTGTGGTTGGTGCATGTTAAAATATATCAGTTGGGTGTCAGCTAAAGTTTTGTCCTCAGTTTAAAATTGGAAGGATATATAATGTTCCATTTAATGCAATATTACCCATTCAGATATTAGAGAAAATAAAGATTTAAAACTTCTAACTATAAAAAAAAAAGTCAAATTATTATAAAAACTTTTTTTACCACAATTTAATTTTATGATT